CACCACCTTAGGTGTATGTGGCTGGCGCCTTAGCCACTTGAGCCACAGGCTCCGAGCCCAGAGCTGATCTTGAACTCCTGAGCTGAAGTAATCTACCTGTCTGGGCCTTCCAGAGTGCTGGGATTATATGTGTGAGCAACTGCACCTGGCCTATATTTAGATTTTTAAAATGACTTTAAAGAACGGGTAGGTTGACTCAAGCCTATAATCCTAGTACTCTGGGAGGCTCAGGAGCAATCTGGGTGGATTGTGTCAACTCAGGAGTTTGAGACCAGCCTAAGCAAGAGTGAGACTACATCTGTACTAAAAACAGAAAAAGTAGCCAGCCATAGTGGTGCATGTTTATAGTCCCAGCAACTCAGGAGGCTGAAGCAAGAGGATTGGTTGAGCACAAGAGTTTTAGATGGCTGTAAGCTATTATGCCTTGGGACTCTACCCAGGGCAACAGAGTGAGATTCTGTCTCAAAAAAAAAACCTTAAAAAAATACATTTAGATTATTAATTGCTGACTACCAACCTAATTTGAAGGTAATTATCAACATAATTTTATGTTGATAATTTTAATTTTATGATTGTAAGATATGTAATATTTACTTAATTGTTATGTTTTTCTTTTTTTTAGATTGTACTCTGCTATTCAAGTAATGGTCATTATGATTCTGTGTATTCAAAACAATTTCAGTCAACTGCTGCTATTTGTCAGGGTAAGTGAAGCTTTATAAATTTTCAGGTGTGTGGCTTGGCACCTGTGGCTAAAGTGGCTAAGGCACCAGCTACATACACCTAAGGTGGCAGGTTCGAATCCAGCCTGGGGCTGCCAAACAACAATGACGGCTGCAACCAAAAAATAGCTGGGTGTTGTAGCAGATGCCTGTGGTCCCAGCTCCTTGGGAGGCTGAGGCAGGAGACTCACTTGAGCCCAGGAATTGGAGGTTGCTATGAGCTGTAATGCTACAGCACTCTATCCAGGGGGACAGCTTGAGGCTCTGTCTCAAATAAATAAATAAATTTTCAGGTGTGATTTTAGATGATTTGTTGCTTGTCTTTAATTTGGTGGACCTACCACAATAGAACTTTTAAAGCTTTGGTATTTGTTGAATTTGTATGTTGGATTAAAGCTATTTTTACATTGTTATAAAAAATACTATTTTGACAGTCAGAATTTTGGCTATTTTTCCCCCTCAGCTGTGTTATATGAAATTCTCTATAAAGACGTATTTCTTGTCGATGAAGAAGACTTGAAAACTGCAGTTGAATTGTTTCGAACTGGTTCTAGGAAGAATAGAAATAATGCTTTGACTGCAAGTGCGGATACCCATACTGATGACAAGGGTTCAACTCAGGATAGGTAATAAAGGGAAAGGGGGTGTGAACTACAAGATAATTATGTTTCAGTGTTTCTGTGCATAATTTGAAAGTGGAAGGGGCCCAACAAACTTATGACTTAGATTACATATTCACACATATATATTAGGAATGCATATTTTTTAATGGGGGGAGAGTTTTACCAAAAATATACTGTGAGATGTTCAAACTTCTGGGCATTTTGTTCAAGTCACAGTCCGTTTTTTGGTATGTGTGTGTTTGTTTTTTTTTTTTTTTTTGAGACAGAGCCTCAAGCTGTCCCCCTGGGTAGAGTGCCGTGGCATTACAGCT